CGCAGGCAGCCGAGCTAAACTAACCCCAACCCCAACCCTCGCCCTAACCCTACTCCTACCCCTGACCCTATCCCTATCCCTATATACTAACCCTAACCCAACCCTAGCCCTAACCCTGCCTCGCCCCGCAGGCAGCCTTCTGACCCTACCCCTTGCCCTGTCCCTAAACCTAACCCTAACCCAACCCTAGCCCTAACCCTACCCCGACCCGCAGGCAGCCGCGCGTCGCGCGCAAGGCTGGGCAGACCCGGGGCACGCCTCCCACCCAGCCGTCCTCAAGGTGAGCGGCAGGGGGCCCTGGGCGTGGGCAGGCGTTCCGCCGATGGCCTTCCTTGGCGGCCCGGCCCTCCTCCGCGACGGCGCTGCCCGTGACTTGACGGTCTTCACGGCTGCAGCTGTGAGCAGGCGGCGGCTTGCTGTCTACTCCGTGGGGCTTCGGGGAGTACACCCCCGAGCCGCCCTCGTCAAAGTCCTTCTCGGAGGCGGAGGCGGACAAGGCGCTCCTCGTCACATTCGTGGGGGCCGTCCACCGCGTGGTCGTCAGCGAGTGCGGCCATTTCCGCTCCACGCGGCAGAGCGACGGGGCAGAGGTGGAGGGGTCCGTGTTGTTGCCGCCCATGGCGAGGGGCTGCCCCGCCTTGTGACAGTGAGCTTTGAGATAGGAGTATGTAACGATTACATTTTTCATTTCACTCTCTTTCTGCCTTGCACTTTGAAAAAAAAAACTGTTCAGTTTTCAAAGGCAAAAACGCCAGCCTACGCCCTCCCCTCACACTGACACTTCTCCCCTATTCCCGTCTTTAGGTTGCGCACATCTCCCAGCGAGCTAGGTTCTCCGCTTTTTCTCCCCTAGTCATCTGCCCGCGCCGCGCGCCTCTGTGGGCGTCTAGTGCAGCCACTGACAGAACTGTTCCAAAGGAGTGGTCAACGTCTCGCCTGAAGTCGGGTGGGCTCGCGCACTGCTTAGCCCTAGGGGAGGGGTGTGTGTGAGGTGTCGGAATGGTAAGGTTTCAGGCCGCCAAGGTGTGGGGGATTTGGGGGATGAGTCAGGAGCCAGCAGCCTTCCTGCTGGACCTGAGTTCACAGCTCCTCCGCCCGACGGGGTGGTCCCTTGGATTCGGGCCCCGCTCCCTTTTCCTGCGCCTGGTCTGTCCCTGTCAAGTGTGTGTTGCGAGATGCAGAGCTGGTTAGGCTGGAGCGCGGGCGGTGCGGTGGCAGGCGAGGGCAGCGCGGTAGGCGAGAGGCGGCCGCGGGGCTTCGAGTGGCGCGATAGGAGGGTAGGCTGGCTGTGGAGGGGCGCCGCGTGGCCTCGGCAAATGAGTAGTGCTTTATGAGCGGCCAGTTTTGTGCGTATTGCAT